ATTAAATAGTAAATATAACTCTGAAATTTATTTAAGAGTTTCAAAAGAATTAATATATTTCAGAGGAAATTTCAGTTTTTAGAAATAATTTCAGTTTCAGATTATAGAGATTTAGATTTTAGAGATTTTAAAATGATTATTGACTGGCAATATTACACGCTTTACAGTAAATTTTATACATAATAATTAGTAATCTATTCTACTAAATTTTATTCTAATTTTGAAAAAAATAGTTGTTTATTATTATATAACTATAGTAACTAAGATGTTGAAGCTTTCAGTTAGTCTTTTTTTTTAATCCTAAACTTGACTTAGTTTTAAACCAAAATATCTTACTATTTCATAAATATTATTTGAATATTATAAAAATTATAAGACTATTAATTTTTCACATATATTCTATTATATTCTTTTTTAAATGTAACTTTAAAATATTTAAATTTTTAATTGCCTATGATGATCATTTTGAAGAAAAAAGAGTTATAAAATACAATACAATTAAAATATAATATAAATATACTAAATTTTGTAACTATTATAATATATATTAATTTATATATTACATATAATTAATTATCTTTTAAAAAATTCTCTTTTATCAAAATATCTTTTTTATTAAATTATTTGAGTATTTTACAAATTTAAGATGTATTTGTAAAAAAATCAGAGTAGATTAGTCAGTATTTTATAATAATTAGAAAATATAAATTTTACTATTTTAATAGAGTATAATTTTTTTTGATATAAGGTGTATTATATAATAATTACTTTATTTATAATTTTTAATTGAAAGACTAATTTATAACATGATTTTTTGTTATTTTTAAATTCTTTTCATATATTTTCAGCTAATATAATTCATTAAATTGAATATTTAGTATATTAGTATCTAATTATATAAATTAATTAAATATTAAATAATTAAAGTGATAATTATTATTATTTTATAATTACCTTTGAATTAAGAATACAAAAAATATAAGTAAACATAACTTGTCATTAAATTTTTTAAATTTAAAAAATAAAAAATTATAATTAATTAATATTTATTAATTTAATTAATTAATTAAACTAAAATTAAATAAATATATTTATTATTTATTATATTTTAAATACAAAATTTTTTAAAAAAATATAATCAGATACAAATATTTTTTTCAAATATCATAATAATTTTTACTAGTTTAATATAATAATTAGTTAGATTAGATATATTATTTTTAAGACATAAAATTGCTTTTTTAATTAAATTTAATATTTTTAAAATTACTTTAATATTATTAAAAAATCCTTATTTATTTATCTAAAATGTAGCTGAAAATATCTTTAATTAGATACAATATTATTTATCTACATATGTAATTAACTAATAAGATGTATTACTATATTGATCTGATTTTCAGATATGATTACATTTAAATTATTTTTCTGTGAGATTATAAATTAATACTTTAGATATTATAACAGTTCTCATTATTTAATTAATAATTATTTTAACAGTTTTGCTAATAATTTCATTATTATAAATACAAAAATCTAATATAAATAAATTTAAATAAAATAATTAATAATAATAATTATTTTATATTACTATATAGTACTGCTTATAGTACCTAGAGTCTTATTCAAAAACATTATTTTTTAAATTGAATAGTATCCATTGATACTGTGTGTAGAACTGAGTATTATTTTTGAGGGATATATTATATAGAAGGATATTATATATGAAGGATATTTTATAAAGAAAATGTATTAAAATCATCTGTGAAATATATCAATATCAATAAAAAATTTAACTAATAATTTACACGTACTTATGATTGTGATATTTTTAAATTTTTTTACATGATATTAATAAAATAAAAGTTTAAAAAATTAAATTTATTTTTTTTTCTTTTTGATTTCTGCTTTTTTTTGATCTTATTGTATTATTTTCTAAAATTTAAATTTTCATAAAAAATGCCAAGAGGAAATTTTGGTATATAATAAGCAAGAAATATACAAAAAAACAATATCAATGGAATATTCATAAAAACTGATGGTTGTATTATACACTAGTCAAAATAAGAAATTTTGACATATGACAAATCAGCCAATTTTCACCTTAATTTCAGTTGATATTAGAGATCATCAAAATTCAATTTAAATTCGAATTAAATGATTGGTGGCCGATTTATGGCCAAATCTTTAACAATAAAATAATAAAATATTCGTTATAAATTTATGCAATATGTAAATTTCAGTAAATACATATAAATATAAAATAGATATTATAAAGTTAAAAAATTCAATAAGTTAATTTTTTATGCATATAAGTTCTACTGAATATGAAATTTTCTATTAATCAAATTCACAGCTAAATAGTCTTTTGCATTTTGCTTATCTAATATTTGATATTTTACTAGTATAAATCTTCCAAGAATGTTATAAACTGGAATGATGCAATCCTGACTTTCTGAATAAAAATCAGTATTCTATAATTCAGCATTACTAGTTTTTTCTTTATCATCAATTTTGAAATGATATTGAGAACCTATATAATAATACTATCAAACGTAGACCAAAATATATTTAGTAGAACCATCTGACAAATTGAGTGTATGTATAAAAAAATATTAGATTTGCCCAGAATAGCAATCAATATTATCATTATCAATTACAAATCTGGCTAAAACAAACAAACTCTTCATATGATGAGCTGAAACTACAGAGCCAAATATTTTAGAATCAATCTAGCATCTTCCAAATTGGTTTATTTTGACTCGAATTATTATAGCATTTTTTGGACTTTCTATAAATGGCCTTTAGAATTCAAATGATTCATAGGTTGCTATATAATATTTGACCAACTAATCAAGCATTAAATTCAAAAGCAATATATTTTCCAAAGAAGGGTTTAGCATCTCACTTAAAAATTGTTTCTTTCCAGTTATTGTTTGATTCTTACATTAAATGAGAGTTCAACTAAAATCAATGCATCTCATCTGAAAAGAAATTATCTGTTGCTGATAAAGATCTAATGATTGGTTGACTACTAAGCAAATTGAGGCTTTTTGTCTTAATTCTAGAATTTGTCAATTCAGTGATTCAGTTATCATTTATTAATTGACGCATAATTTTAGGCTTAATTTGTTAATGACTATTTGGTAAAAAGCTTAAATTAAAAATAAGTTAATAAATATATAGAAATTAACTGTTAAAATTTATAGTTTTCAACTTACCTATAATTCTATTCATGCGTTCAAAACTAAAGTACCAAAACGCATACAATAGACTAAAATCATATACGCATTCGCATAAATGAAGTGAGAGATAGAGATCTAGAGTTATCTTACCTTGACCATAATATTCTTCAATTATCTTTATTATTTTAATTAACCTTTGGTGAGCTTATCTCATTAGATCGACTTCTATAATTTGATTTACCAAAATCATACAAATTCTTACAAAATGTGTAAGAATTTTATGATCCTTGCTTGGTAGATATTTCCAGAGTGAGACAGTGGTATATATTGTAAAAAAGTTTCACCACTGATCAGCCATCAAGTTTACAAAACCTTCTTCACAATCAATTTTACTTAAGATTTGACCCAAATCGGCTAATACTTGAAATTCATTCATTTTTTTTTGTATATTTTCTAATATATTTGGTGTTAAATATCCTCTTCAATCCAAATTCATTTTACAATCCACTTTGCATTGCCTAAGAATAGGCAATGCATTGGATTGATGATAATGAACTGAATTGGATCAAAGTATGGTAACCGAAGTAACTCAGACCACCTACACTATTTTCCTTAACAAATCTTTTTCTTTCTATATTAGATTTCAATGTCACCAATCTATTGCATTTTGTCATGTTGTATTAAATCCCGAATAAAGAACCATTCATTCATATCATCCATTCTAGCATAATTATGCTATCGATTTTTATAGTTCACTTTTTTTCACATCTGTGATATGAAACAAGCGCTGAAATATATTAACAGATTTTTCTTGCAGCTAAAATATTGCATGAGACAAGAACTAGAGCTGCACGAATATATCTTTCTTCCTTATACTCATATGTGTGATCTAGAGTCACTCCATCCCAAAGTGACTCAAGATCATTAACAATTGGTGTCAAATAGTAATTAATTCTATGTAGCTAACTTCATTTGACCTAAGTAAAAGACTAAGAATTAGTAGATTTTCATGTTTGAATTGCAAATCACAAAGCAAGTTGCAAATTGCAGCATAGATGATATCAGTGCTATAGATATTTCTGTCATATGGTTGAAACCAATCAAGGTTTAGCATTAGCCAAGATGAAAATTGGCCACTTCATTTTAGAAAAAGTTTGGCAATTCTTTGTTACTTGTTTCTTTGAAATTTTCTATATTTGGCCGTCGTATATATCAGTTAAAATATTAAAATTTGACTGATTGACTAATGTCTAAGGGAACTTTTAAATTCTGGTTGATAATATAAAGTAGCTAACTGTTGGCGAATCCTAATGAATAGATATATTAGTTTAAATTGATTATTTATTTGACCATCTAATAATTTCATTTGCTGAGATAATAGCATTTAACATAAATGCATTTTTTGACTTATTGAATTTGAATATTCAATGTGTTAATACTTCATAATTGCTGAAATTTTGGCCTACTGAAATTTATTACTTCTTTCTTCTGATACAATTTGTGATACTTTGAATATACCACAAAACTATGAAATTGATCTTTCAGATCAAGTTCCTTTCTCACCAAATAAAATGAGTCAGAAAAACTATCAAAGTCATCATTACTGATTTCTTCTAATATTATTTTCATGAATTTAACCAAAATTTCAGTAGCTGTTTCTGATATATAATATTTAACTCAAAAATGTATGATTCATATCAAAATCTATAAAAATCATCTATCATTTATTGATTCTGAAACAATTGGATCTTTAAATAGTTCATAATTGGATGGTGAGTAATCTTCAAAATGTTCAGCATAATCACAATCAGCCTGTTAAGTTCCATTTAATGCATTATCATCGTCTTCAGTATCGAATTCAGAGTTCTCTATTGCTGTATCATTATGTTCTGTAGTTGGAAATTCAATAGGCAATGTTTGACAATTTGTAAATCTATGCTTTTAAGGCAATAAAGCATTAAGATAGGTAAAATCATTGATAGTTTTTTGAGTTTTTTCATTATTTTGTCTATTTTGGTTAAAAGTTTGTTCTAAAACAGCTGAAGTTTTTGAAGTCTTTTCATCCTGTTCATTTTCAACATTTGGTTGAAGTAATTTGATATCTTCCTAAGCTAAGTGATTATTTTATTTATTTAACATATATAGTCTTTTTATATGTAAATCAACCATATTTCCATTGCATTTGCTATAAAGATAAGAAACTTTCAGCCTCCTCCTGCTAGTTAGCTCAGCAATTAGTCAAGAAGTAGTTGACTCTTCATGAATTACACTTGATATTAATCTTTTTCTTGTTATTTTTAAATTAATTTTATAGAATGTATGAATGCGTTGAAGTTTAAAATTCATTTCAAAAGTTTATTAAAATATTATTAAAATATATGAACACATTTAGTTTAAAATTTTATTCTAAAAGTTTATTTCTATTGTATTATCACATAAAAGTATATTTACATATAGTCTATATAGTAAAGTTTATCGAAGTTTATTAAAATTCAACCATATAAAAGAAGCCAATTTTTCCATTTAACTTCTTTAAAACATTTGTTATGACTTAACATTACATTAATAATTTAAAAATATAAAGATGAATCACTAAAGAAACAAGTCTCGACTAACTGCACCCATTTTAGAATCATCTGCTATTACTTATTCTGGTAGTTTTTGATCAATATTTGCTTATGCTGAATAGAACTGATACTAACACTTTCTTTTAAAAAAAAATCTAGCAAAACAATTCATCAAAGAACTAGCTCTACGCTGGCCACTTCTAGTAAGTAAAATAAAGAAAGAGACTTTAGCAAAATCAGATTGATTCCAAACATATATCTACCTATGATATTGCATTTACCTTCTGTTAAAGAAAAAGTACTTCAAGTTTACCAAAAAATAGAAATATTAATGGTATGAATACAAATTTATTTAAAATTTATGTTTATAATATTACCAATATACCGATTTTTAATTATTTAAAAAAATTGCTCAGTTATATGCACGAATTATTGAATTACAAGAAGACAATCAGAAGTTACAAAGTCAAAATGAAGCACTTTCTGAAAAGTTGGACAAACAGCATCAGGAAAATGAAACTTTATTTTTTATTAATTAGGAATTCAGAAAGAATAGGATAAATTACATGAAGAACTTAAACGAAGCAAATCCTTCTGATTGCCAAGGACTTTGCAGTCAACTAATAAAGGGTCAGAAGATGAAATCGACTTACAAGCTAATTTTGAGCCAGATGATGAGACAGATTATAATACTACTCAAAGAGTTAAACATCAAAAATTAAAAAGAAATCTAAAGGAAAAAAACCAATCAAAAATAGTGATAATGAAGAGGAATTAGATGTAAACAGTGCAAGGATTCAGAATTTTATATTATTTTTACTTGTTATACTGGTTTAATAACTAATATTATTTTATTAGTATGAAATAAAAACAATACTTAAAACCTTGTCAGCTGAAAATAAAATGAAATATGATGAAAGGTTTACAAGGATTCAAATAATAAAATTTTACGAAAGCTGGTACCTGAATTGATGAAAGCAATGAGGCCAAGATATAACTCTTCTTATGGTCAATTAAGAAATTAGCTACAGGCTTTGCATAAGCATAAAAGAAGCTAATATAACTATAGAAAAAATGGAAAGCTCGATAAAGATAATCATCATTTATATAGCAACAGCTGACTTAATGAGGTAAATAAAGTTACACTTTTTATTAAAATTATTTGCTATTTACTAATTTTGTTTTATTAAATATAGAAAAGTTCTGATATATAAAAGGTGCCAAATTTCTTTTCGAAAAGAAAGATAATTAAGTAGCGAAATATGAACAAGAAGAAGTGTTAAAGATATTACAAGATAATTGCTATCATTTACTAGAGCTTAGCGAAACAGATAATAAAAATTCAGCAAATGTAAAGCGTAATATTAATACTTACGACCTTTTTTGGGAGTCAGAAGAGGTTTAATTAATATATTTTAATTCTTATTTAACACTCACAATTGTAAAAACTAATATTCTTTTATTAGCTAAAAAATCTTTTACATAACATAATTAATTCTCATTTACTAATGTTGCAAACCTCCAAACTGATGAGAAATCGTTAACATAATGATGAAATTTACTTTTATAAGATGGCTGAACCTTACATTGCTCTAGATTAGACCTATGAAGAATAAGATATAGATTACAAAACTGATTTTGAAGCTTCTCAAAGTCGACTATTAAATAAAACAGTTGAAGAAAGCGAAACATCACCTATGAGCAAAATTCGTGATATTATTCAAGATAATAAAAATGACGATAAATATAGAGATTATGATAGTGATCAATATAGGGAATATGAGGAAGATTATTATTAACATATTTTTCATTTTATAATTTGTAGTAAATTTCTAAAGTTATATTATATTAATTTAGCAAAATATAAGTGCATTTCGTATTATTTAATAAAAATTCGCTTAATATTCATTTAATATTCATTTAAAGTTCATTTAAAAATTTACTTAAAATTTGAATCTCCAAATTCTGTTATTCATTATGCTGATTATATATCGAACATCATGATCGAGTGACAGATGAAACATAACAATTGGCATAAACTAATAGACTAGATTTAATTCGTAATTCAGCATTAAACTAACAATTCAAATTTTAGCTAAAATAAAGTATTTTGACCGGTGATATCAAAAAAATAGACATAGTATTCGAGTAATAGCAAATAAATATGATATTGAACTAAAATAAGTTCATAATTAGAAAATCAAAAAAAATGACTTAATGCGTGTAGCTCTATATATTCAATGACTTAATATTGATGCATGACCTAAATATTTATAACATAAAGATGAACTTTTAGAATAGTTTTGCAAGTTACGAAAATAACTAAAAATAGTAACTAGATATATTATTGGTATAAAAGCTTGCAGTTTAGCTAAAAAATAAGAATACCTTATTTTGTATCCTGATATTCATAAATGTCAATTTTTACAAAAATGGGTTAATAGATTTATATCTAACCATTTATTGGTAAATCATCAACTAGAGGTTGGAACTGGTTAATTTTTAACCAGTTAATTAACCAGTTAAAATGGTTAACATGTTAACTGATTAAAGATTTTTTTTAACTGGTTAAAATAGATGAATTTAAATCTGACTGAAATTCAATTTCTGGTCAAAATTAAGATTTTTATAATTGACAAAATATTGTCTAATTCTGGTCAAATTTATAATACTGGCAAAAGTTAATTTTAACTGGTTAATTAACTGGTTAACAAATATTTTAACCAGTTATTAACCAGTTAAAGAATTTTCGGCCAGTTCTAACCTCTATCATCAACATATTACAGTAGCATAAAGATTACCTGAAGAATATATTGAAAAACAACAAAAATTTTTATCATATATTCTTTATTTACAAACTGAATATAATTACTCTTTAAATTTAATTAGAAATATAGATGAAACTCCTATATCATTTAATATGCCAAATCAAACAACTATTGATGAATATGAAAAATGAACCATTTCAATTCTTATAATAGGCCATAAACATACTAATTTTATAGTAACTCTTACTTGTCTTGCAGATGTATTATTTTTAAGTTAGTTAATATACTATAAAAATAATTTCCAAAAGTGTATATGTTCATGCAAATCCCAGTGGATAGATGGATGAAAAAGAAATGATTTAGTAGATAAAGAATGTATGGTGTCAATGAGTGAGTTTAGGTTCAAATTTACGTTCACTTTGTTGGCTTGGTATCTGTAAACTTTAAGCGATAAATTTTTAATTCAATCTATCAAATTAAATATAAGACAATATTACAATTACACCTATATAAAGACATGATAAAAGGCAATAGTAAATAAATTTAACAATTTTTTTATTGAACTCTTAGTTTATCCTAAAACCTTAACTTAAGTTACTTTTCAACTTAAGAAAAAATACAAGATATTTATATAAAATAAAATAATATAAAATCAACTATAACAAATATAATAAAAAGAATAAATAATACAACTATAATAAATATAATATATATAACAAATAAGATATAATTAAAAAATATAATAATTATAATCTATTTATCTAATTTGTTCACTTGATTAACATTGACAACTTTAGCAACTTTGTCAATTTCATCAACTATATCGATCATTTAGATCACATGACTTATTTTTAGCATAGTCACAGATTACGGCTTCAATCCTTCCCTTCTAAATTTTGAATTCCTGCCTAAATATCTATAGCTTCGTTTACTAGAGATCAGTATACATTACTTGGGAGTTGATAAAGATTTTTCAATAATATATGTTTCACTCATTGAATTTGATCTACATCTAGCATTTTATAGAGGTAATAAATATGTATTAAGATAGAACTATAATATTTGGTAACAAGTTCTCTTAATTGACTTCATTATGCTAGTAAAAAAGTTTCTATTTCTAAAAGTTTTCTCAAATAATAAGCATTTATCAAGGTAAGAGTCTGATCTTTTATTCGTGAAGCTCTTAATAACATTTGATATATCATTTGAAATTTCTTTATAAGTCCATTCCATTTAAATATGAAGGAATAGCAGGAGTTATTTTTTAGGCAAAGTTTCGTTCAAATATTCAATATAAAGTTGTTCTATAATAAGAAATAATAATGATAAGAAATAAAAAGAAAAATCTAATTCTGAAAAGGAGGATCTTTATATATTTTCAAAAGATCTCTATTTACTAAACTACGAAGTACATGACCATCTAATTCTCTTATCTTATAAGAGCTATTTAGTAAGATTTGATGGATATAGTAGGGTTCTTTTCATTTTTAATCCAATTTTTCAGAATGGGTTTTATCTTTTGCAGCTTTGAAGTATAAAACTTTATCTCCAATTTCATGTGAAACAGAGATCCTTGTATTTTTGTCATAGTACTTCTTTGTTGCTATTGTGCAAATTGTATTTGTACTTTTGCATCTAGTCGCACTAGAGGTAATTTGTTGATTAAATGATTAATTCTTTCTTGAATAGTAAAATTCTAATTAGTAAAAAAGTCATTAGAATCATCAGGATTATCAATAGATAACATTACATTTTGTTCATAAACTAAATAAAAGGGTTTGATCTTTGTAACTGATTGTTTGTTTGTATGATAAGTAAATAGAACAGGAGAAAT